TGTTGTGGGCAGCCACAGGTAGTCACTCCCTTTGTTTACACTTAAACATATGAATGGAGACTTCCCGGCACAGACAATTAGGCTAGGGGAGATTCCGGGAAGAGGCAGGAGGAACCTAAACCTTTCACAAGAGATGATAACAAATAATCAGTCACACCTGTAACCTTCATTTATCACCTAAGTGTTTTTATTGTAACCTTAAGAGCCGTTTTGATATGTAAATCTTTTGTGCTCCTCCTTGTAAACAACTGGTCATGTTTAAATACTACTGCATTTATTCAATAAACGAGCCTTGATCAGGACTTGTCTTGGCTCCATTCTTTGCGTCCTTGTCCCCGCATTCCCACTCTCTGTTTCAGGAAGACCCAGTTCATTGTGCCGCAGGCCGGCACATCCTGTGAAAAGTAAGGACATATTTTTAAAACTCCCCCACTGGGCTTTTCTTTTCTTTCTTTCTTTTTTTTTTTTTTTAAGATTTATTTATTTATTTGAAAGGCAGAGTTACACAAAGAGAGAGAGAAAGGTCTTCCATCCGCTGGTTCACTCCCCAAATGGCCGCAATGGCCAGAGCCTGGCCAATCTGAAGCCAGGAGCCAGGAGCTTCTTCTGGGTCTCCCAGGTGGGTGCATGGGCCCAAGGTCTTAGGCCATCTTCTACTGCTTTCCCAGGACACTGCAGAGAGCTGGATCGGAAGTGGAGCAGCCAGGACTTGAACCAGCGTCCATATGGGATGCCACCATTGCAGGCAGAGGCTTTACCTGCTATGCCATAGCACTGGCTCTACCCCAGGATAATTTCTATCCATCCATCGGCAGCAGGCAGCCCCTGAGAATGTCAGGCACTCCTTCGGCCCATGGGCAGGATTGGTTTCCTCACTAAAAGCACAGTGCGAGTTCCTGATTGCAATGATTATGTTTAAACAAGTGTCAAAAGCCAGCAGGTAACAATCTGTGGTCGGTTGGCAGACATGTATTGTTAGGCTTAAAAAATGGCTTTACTTTTCATTAAAAAAAATTCAAGACAGTTGCCAACAATGAAATAAACCTAAGAGATTTTTATTTTTATTTATTTTTTTTTTGACAGGCAGAGTGGACAGTGAGAGAGAGAAACAGAGAGAAAGGTCTTTGTTGGCCTTTGGTTCACCCTCCAATGGCCGCCATGGCCGGCGTGCTGTGGCCGGCGCATCGCGCTGATCCGATGGCAGGAGCCAGGTACTTATCCTGGTCTCCCATGGGGTTCAGGGCCCAAGCACTTGGGCCATCCTCCACGGCACTCCCTGGCCACAGCAGAGAGCTGGCCTGGAAGAGGGGCAACCGGGACAGAATCCGGTGCCCCGACTGGGACTAGAACCTGGTGTGCCAGCGCTGCAAGGCGGAGGATTAGCCTAGTGAGCCGCAGTGCCGGCCTCATAAGAGATTTTTATCTAAAACTTTATTGCGCTCCTTGTGAAAATTCAGAAGTGCTATTGACACAAGTTGGCTTCCCCGAGTGGCAGCAAATGACTGGAATGTTGTGGCTGCTGTGAGCCCCCTTTGCGGGTCCACTGCCACTAACCTTTAGGCCAGTTCCCCTGGGGCTTGCTTTGTTCACCTGCCTCTCTTTTCTCCTACCTGCCCCTCATCAGAGGTTACTTCAAAAAGTCGGTGGAAAACGGCATCAAAAGATAAGGTTAGGGGTGGATGTTTGGTGCAGTGTTAAGTCACTGCGTGGGATGCCGGCACCCCAGGTCAGAGTCCCTGCCTTCGAGCCTCAGCTCTGCTGCAGATTCCAGCTTTTTGCCAATGTGCACCCTGGGTGGCCGCAAGTGCTGGTTAAGGTACTTGGATCCCTGCACCTGCATGGGAGACCCAGACTGAGTTCCAGTTTCCTGACTTTGACCTGGTCCACCACTGCCTGTTGAGAGCATTTAGGGGGTGCCAACAGATAAATGTCTTCTGTAGTCTTTGGAATGTTGTCCTCACTTCCTAGTCTCTCATCTCATCCAGGCATTTCTTCCATGAGAGCATTTGGGAAGTGAGCCAGTAAATAAATGGAAGATCTCTCGCTCTCTCTCTCTCTCGCTCTCTCTCACTCTCTGTCTCTTTCAGTGTCTCAGCCTTTCAAATACATAAAAATAAATAACAATAAATTTAAAATATAAATTTATTTTGGTGCACAAAATTTGAAATTAATGCATAACTTTTTTGTAATAGACATTTCCCTGAGCTTTTTGAAAACATACACATGTTTTTGCAATAAAGGAAGCTTATCATTTAAATACATTTTCCACAAACTTTTTGAATTACCCTGGGAAGACTTTGAGTTCCTGGCTTCTGAATAATGAAGATCGGGTTTTTTTTTTTTTTAAAGATTTATTTATTTATTTGAAAGTCAGAGTTACACAGAGAGAGAAAGAGAGGCAGAGAGAGAAAGAGAGAGAGAGAGAGAAAGAGAAAGAGAGAGAGGTCCTTCATCCTCTGGTTCATTCCTCAGTTGGCTGCAATGGTCAGAACTTCAGAGCTGTGCTGATCTGAAACCAGGAGACAGGAGCCTTCTCCGGGTCTCCCATGTGGGTGCAGGGGCCCAAGAACTTGGACCATCTTCTGCTGCTTTCCCAGGCCACAGCAGAGAGCTGGATTGGAAGTGGAGCAGCTGGGACTTGAACCAGCACCTATATGGGATGCCGGCGCCATAGGTGGAGGCTTAGCCTACTATGCCACAGTGCTGGCCTCATGGGTTTTGTCTTCAGATTTATACAGCTCTTTGAACTTGACCCAGGATAAACAATTATAACAAACATAATCTGTTTAAGAGCGTTATCGAGATATAACTCACATATCATGCAATTTACTCATTTAAAGTACAAGTTGGTGGGTTTTGATATATTACAATATTAATGTTTAAAAAATGTGATAGTCTGTATGACACGATTTGCCATTCTAACCATTTGTAAGTGTACAATTGAGTGATGCTCACGGCGTTCGATGTTGTACAACCACCACCTCTATCCAGTTGCACAGCTTTTCATCACCCCCAATAGAAACTCTACAACCACTAAGCAATAACTCTCCATTCTCCACTCCCCCCTGCCTCTGGAACCACAAATCTACTGTCTGTCTCAGCTAATCTGCCTCTTCTAGAAACTTCTGTAAGTGGAATCACACAGTATCTGTCTTTGAGCGTCTGTCTGTCCTTCCTTGTGGCATGTATCATAACTTAATTTATGTTCAAGGCAGAATACTATTCCATTGTTGGTGCATACCAGGTTCTGTTTATCCCTTCGTCCTTTGATGGACACCTGGATAGGCTCCATCGTCTGGCTATGGCGAAGAATGCTGTGATGAGTGATGGCATTCAAGTGTCTGCTCTAGTTCCTCTTTTCAAGTCCTTGGGGTGTACACCGAGGTGTGAAACACCATCTACTTATAACCACCTCCCCCATCGTGCTCTCAGAGAGCCAGAAAAGTAACTCTGATTCTAAAAATAGGCAGAGATTCAGAGGTTCTAGGGCAGGCCAACTGCAGTGTGACCACTTAGGAATACCTGTCTGTGTTCTTTGTCTCTTCAAAGTATTCAAAGCTAAGACCAAGTGTTTAAAAAAAAAAAAAAACAACCTATGGCCAAAACCAAAACACAACGTGAGAAAATACTGTAGGTGATGCATCCTGGGTAGGGGACACCCAGGATGTGCTGTGAGTTCAGGACAGGGAGAGAGCCTGGGGCTTCACAGGGAGTTTGATAGAGAAGGCAGGCTGTGCACCTTGACCATGCACAGCAAGACAGGGCGGGGAGGGGGTGGCAGGAGAGGAGGCAGCTGAGCGATCCTCTTCTGGCTCACCCGGCTCCATCCAGGTCCAGGAACTCCGAGTCTTCACTGCAGTGGTGCAGGGGGTTTCCTGGGAAGCAGGCTCGGAGAGATTAGAGAGCAGAAAGTCGGATTGCGATGCCTGCCCAGCAAAGTCCTCGGCTGGACCGCGGGCGCCCTGGAGCTGGGTGACTCCCTTGTCCCAGCTGGGGCGGGAGAGCCTGGCCTTCCTCCCTGCTTGGTCACTCATGGGATGCAGGCTGCCCTTGAAAGGAGGCATGATCCTGCTGAGGCAGATATCTTCAGCCTCGATAATCCCCAAACACCGCTGACAGCTGAGACCCATCAGCTGACACCGCCGCGAAACTGGGCCAGTCCACTCCCCCAGGGGGAACCGGCAGCACATCCTTGGGGTCTGCCGGGGACGGACTCGCCGAGGTCTCTCTGCCCTGCTGTGCGTGCAGGCTGAGAACAGTCAGGATCCTGGGGTCCCTGTCTCTCCTCACCCAGGCTGTGGTTTCAAAACAAAACACAAAACCAGTCTGAATGTGTTTGGTAGCTGTACGTGCACCAACTTTCATATTAGCCAGGAAGACAAATGCATTTGGGTAGAGATAGTATGTTTATTAATCCAAAGTGCAAAATTTTGAATATATATATTATATATATATTTAAAAGTATATTTGAAAATGTAACAGTGTGTTCTAAGATTGTTTAATTAGTTTTCAGAAGAGCCCCAAGGACCATGTAAGACCCCTATGGAATTTCAGAGCAAGTTTAGCAAAACCCTCGACCGCCGGCGATTCAGGGATGTGAGTGGTTTTTCTGCCAGTGGAGAAGAGAAAAGTTGCAGATACTGGAGCCACAGCTCTTTCTCTGGCTGCACACATCTCTCCCTTGTGTCTGGATTTTCTCACTTCATTATGTGTTGTTAGCATTTAAAGATCTGGGGAACTGACCTCAATAAATCAGAGGCCACCTCCTATGTGTTAGAAAAATGACCAAGGTGGGTCTTTGATACCATTGTTGTTTCTGTTTTTCTTTCTTTACAATGACAATTCAAATTGACTTAAGCTGGAAGAAAAGACATCGCTCCTGTGCCTGAAAAGCCCAGATGGCTTCAGGAATGGTTGAACCCAGGTGTTCAAAATGTTATCATGTTGCAGCTTCTCTTTTTGTCTCGGTTTTCCTCATCTCACAGGCGCTTCTCTTGCAGTGGAAATGGATGGCAAAGCCGGGCTTCTCAGATCCGTGTTCTGCTTGAGCAGAAGTCCTGGGGTTTGATCAGCTTGAAGAGCCTTAGGCCAACTGTCTGCCTGAGCCAATTACTAATGGTGAGGGGAATGAGACACAGGGATTGCCATGTGCTGTGTCCCTGGAATCTAGGGTGGATCTCTTCCCCTTTCCCTTGAATGGATCCAAATTAAAGTTAGATCTGCAGGCCAGTTAATACTCGGAAGCACATCCTGTCTCAGCTGGCAGCAAGGAACTAGCGGCTTGCCCTCCAACAAGGAGCCACACGCCTGCCCTCCAACAAGAAGCTACATGCTTTACTCCAACCTGCCCATCAACCTCACTGCTTCCTGGCTGGTAGAGAGCCTGACATTCTGTTCTAGTCTGTTTTGCAGCTGGGTCCATGTGGAGAGAGAGAGAGACAGAGAGAGAGAGAGAGAGAGAGAGAGAGAGAGAGAGAGAGAGAGAGAAGGGAGGGGAGCATTCCTGGGTGTTATCTGCCCTCACAAGGACAGAGATCAAAGAAAAGTCTTCTCTGCTTTCAGATGCGATTGGAAGAGAACGCGCAGTGTGGCACGGAAGCAGCCCTTCTGAAACCGTGGGGACATCAGCCAACACAGGGAAGATGGCATAAAGGGATTGTGACGTCTTGAGTGTTTGAAGATACTGGTATGCCACTAATCAACAAACCTTGGAGAGTCTTCTGTCGTTCAAGCTACTTGCAGCTCAGCTGTGTGGTTGGTTACCTGCAGCTGGAAGCGGCCTGGTATGTAAGTCTCTATATATGGAGGTGGAGGTGGAAGGAAGGGGTGAGGGGGTAAATTCCAATTCTGCTAATGTCGCTTGTGGAATAAACGGCAACTTTGGTGTAGTCAGGAATCCACAGGCTTTGTTTTTGAGGGGAGATTCACACAGCTAACCCTGGGCTTCTTCAGTGTTAGGGCATCAAGCTGGTAGAGGGGTATGGTAGGGACACCTCTGCTCAATGACGTGGGTGACGTCACCCTCCTACCGCCCTGTCTCTTTCCCGCTTTATGAAGTAGTGTAGCACTCATGTGTGTGTTTCCAAGGCTCCTCATGCCGATTTTCCCAGGTGATCTTCATGCAAACTCTTCAAGGTGAGTAGAGCAACTAGCACTTGTCCTGTATTTCTGATGAGAAAACTAGGACACATGCTTAAATTACTTGGCCAACCTCACACAGCTAATTAAGGGAGTTTCAGGCTGTGTGACCCTGTTCTAGTTTAATTTCTGTTGCCCCACCTTGTTGCCTCAGAACACTGGCGATCTGTTTTGTTAAGGAAAAAAAACAAAAAACAAAAAACAAAAAAAAGGAAGTATCTAGTGAGGAGGCAGAGTGATGAGTCTGCCCTCTGTTCCCGAAGGGGTGGAGGGCTCAGCGAAGGCTGGGTCCCTTTGTCCCTCACAAGGGCCCTTGCTGTTCTCCTTGGGATCCCGTCTGGCCTGTGGCCTTTTGAGCTCCGCAGAGGCAGGGGCCCTCTGGTCTGGCCATTTGCCGAACAGCAGCAGCTTTCAGGAGCCCATTCAGCGACAGGTAGTTTGGGGAAGCCTGGTAAGTGCTCCGTGAGGAGCCACAAGGAGCGTCTCACAGGAATAGGACCAGACCCAGCCTCCTGGAGGGGGGCCCCCACCGGGCTCCTCCCAGCGTCTCTGCCACTCTCGGTGCCTGAGTATTTCCACCCTGCCATCAGCTGCTCCCCTGACGTCCCCTTTCCTCTCGCCCGTGGCTAATGTCCCCTGTCTGGCTTCCTCCAGGTCCGCAGGAGTGAGGGATCGCAAGAGAGCTGGGGTGAGAACAACTGCAGGTGAGAAAGGATACCATCCCGCGGTGGGACCCGGAAGAGCGGCCTGTGGTCCAGCCTCTCTGCCACACAGGTCCCTGGGGCAGCGGCAGGGCCAGGGGCCAAGCACCTCCACCACAACTTGCCCATGTTCTGATCCTGTCTCCTCCCAACAGCTCGGCCTGGGCCACACTCACGGATAAGCTCTGAGGATGGAGTTGGCTCCTCCCCACCACCGCCTGGGTTCCAGCTGGGCATGACGGGAGCGGCTTCTCCACCTCTGGGGCCTTGCCTCTTTCTCCTTGATGGCCCCCTGGGCCTGGTTACACAGGATCCCACCCACGCGAGATGCCGAGTAGATGATCAGGAATTTTATGTATGACCTCACGGCAGCTTTGAAGGAAAATGTATGAAAAGTGGGATTTAAAAGACTTACCAACATTCCTTCCAAATCACTCCCAATCGCTTTTCAGTTATCAACAGGGCCATTGTTTTTCCTGGTCCCTGGAACTCCAAGGTCTTGGGCTCAGCTGCAGCTGATGGGCCAGTGCACAGCTGAGAACAAAGATGGTGGAGGAGACCCTCTTCCCTCCCACCCATGGCCCTACAGGAGGCTCCCAGCAAATGGTGACCCCAGATGAATGCGAAACCTAATCAGGTTTGGCCACAGAGTGGAATTAATCTATTTTTAGATGAACTATTTTAACATTGCCCCCACCTGCTTTGCATTCATATTTTTAATACTCTCCTGAAAGCACCATTTGTCGATATTCTGTCTCTGATTCCAAGCTGCTCTTAACACTGTGAGATGAACAGGCAGCCTGGCCTCTGAGTTCCTGTGGAACCGACTGCTGCCCCCAAGCCAGCTCCTGCTGCTGCTGTGGGCTAGTGTGCAGTCTGAGCTTGCTAGTCAATTCTGCTGAACCTCCTGGTTTTTATAGCTGTGCTCTATGTTAAACACAGAAGTAGAATTCAGGTGGGTATATGGGGCCTAATAATTGCTTTTTGAATAAATAAATAACTGGATAAGAAGGTGGGGGTACAGCTGTAGTTTGGAACCTCTGTGACACTTTGCCTGCCCTGTCCTTATCCCTTCCCCCCATTGGTGGCCCTCACTCTGGGATACCCCGGTCCTAATGGTGACTTTTGGATGCCTCCTGGTTCTGCCTTTGGCGCAGCATCCGGGCTGGTCCTCCACTATCCTGTGTTCAGACAAAATTCTGGAGGAAAAGAGTTTTTATCCCAAAAGGAGAGAGGAAGGAATCTTTTAATGGCAGACTTTCAGAATTGGCACAGTGGTCAGAGGGCAATATCGTTTTTTTCTTTTTTAGGGGGGAACTTCAGCAAAGAAAAACTTTCTGAGATTCTGGCTCTGCTAGGCTGGCCCGCATATCTGACTCCCAAACTACAGTTGGTAAAAGCAATGCCACTTTTTTTTTTTTTTTTTTTTTGACAGGCAGAGTGGATAGTGAGAGAGAGAGAGACAGAGAGAAAGGTCTTCCTTTTGCCATTGGTTCACCCTCCAAGGGCCACCATGCTGATCCAATGGCAGGAGCCAGGTACTTCTCCTGGTCTCCCATGGGGTGCAGGGCCCAAGCACTTGGGCCATCCTCCACTGCACTCCCTGGCCACAGCAGAGGGCTGGCCTGGAAGAGGGGCAACCGGGACAGAATCCGGCGCCCCAACTGGGACTAGAACCTGGTGTGCCAGCGCTGCAAGGTGGAGGATTATCCTAGTGAGCCGCTGCGCCGGCCGCCACTTGTTCTTATCCAACCCTTTATCCAGACGGCCTAATAAGCAACGGAAAAAATGTATTTACAGGGAGGGAAATTGGAGTCCCAGAGAACTGTCCCTTATGAAGGGTGAATGAAACCAGAAGATACTAAATCACTGGGTTCCAATAGATTACAGGGTGTCCTGCTAAGTGAGAAACATGTGCATTGGAGCTTACATTTGCACTGAAGGGCTATCTTCTGATGGGGGCATATCAGTGAGTTTACCATGATACATATTGACACTTACTTATTTTATATATAAACACTTGCAATTGAGAATTGCCTTCAAAATGATTTGGGAGATGCACATGGAAAGCATTCTCTTAAATTTTCATTGAATAACTCTCCCTCTGTGTGTATTCCTCGGCGTGGTGACAGTCCTCAGTAACTACACCTTGCAGCAAAGAACTTCTTAGAAATAGCTTTGTCAAGGTAGACTTGACCTACAAGAGACTGCACGTATTTAAGTGAACAGTTTGAAGAGTTTTGACTTATGTATTCATTCATGAAACCATCACAGTCCACCTGCAAAGGTTGTCTTGTGATCCTCTTGTATTCTGTCCCCCAGGGACACGCCCCTTCTGCCCTGGCCCAGGCAGCCCGTGGTTGACTTGCAGCAAATGAATTCTATTTTCCCTCACGTCAGTTTTTTCCTAGCAGGATGTGGGTTTTCTGGCTCTGGGCATTTGGTCATGAAGGCAGGTGCTCAAAAGAAGTTCCAGGCCAGCGCCGCGGCTCACTAGGCTAATCCTCCGCACACCGGGTTCTAGTTCCGGTCGGGGCGCCGGATTCTGTCCCGGTTGCCCCTCTTCCAGGCCAGCTCTCTGCTGTGGCCAGGGAGTGCAGTGGAGGATGGCCCAAGTACTTGGGCCCTGCACCCCATGGGAGACCAGGATAAGCACCTGGCTCCTGCCATCGGATCAGCGCAGTGCGCCGGCCGCAGTGCACCAGCCACGGTGGCCATTGGAGGGTGAACCAATGGCAAAAGGAAGACCTTTCTCTCTGTCTCCCTCTCTCACTGTCCACTCTGCCTGTCAAAAAAAAAAAAAAAAAAGTTCCAAGTGGTTCTGTGCAGTGGCATCTAGGGAAGGGAAAACACTCACTTGGATATGTAAATCCTGGCATGGCCTTTGAAGAATTAGCCTCATTATTTGATATGTTATGTGTTATGACATTCTATAGTCAGGATCTGCCAGTGTTGTGGTGTAGCCGGCAAATTCGCCACCTGTAATGCTGGCATCCCACATGGGTACCTGTTTGTGGCCCAGATGGCTCCGCTTCTGGTCCAGCTCCCTGCCTGGGAAAAAACAGTGGAAGATGGCCCAAGTGTTTGGGCTCCTACCACCCACATGGGAGACCCAGATGAAGCTCCTTGCTGCTAGCTTCAGCCTGGCTCAACTCTAACCATAGTGGCCATCTGGAGAGTGAACCAGTGGATGGAAGATCTCTCTGTCTCTCCCTCTCTCTCTCTCTCTAACTCTGACTTTCAAATAAATAAATAAATAAATAATTTTTTTAAAAAAGAAAAAAATAAAAGACTCTCCTAATCTAAATTCATTGGCCCATTCTAAACCTACTGCGTTAAAACTAATGTTGGTAAACGTGATCACCCTCATGTTTGTTACGATGATGTATACATAAGTCAAATGGATATGCAAGTCAAAGCGCATCAATTTGTTCACTTAAATGCATAGTTTATGGTAAGTCAATTCTACCTTGATTTGAAGAGTTCCAAATAGCCTAAAAGCCTGGTTTTGGTTTTGTCTCCCTGGTCTGACTTCTATGAAAGAATAACACCCTTACCTCCTAATCTTGTCTCTTGTGCCCCAATATCTAATCTATTCTGCTTTTCAATAGCCATCAATTCCATCTCATACCTTGTCCTCCATCAGTCCCTAAGGCAAGCTGCCCCACTTCTCATCTGGCTCACCTGGATCCACCAGCTGCTCCAATTCTCCTGCTTCCATGCGTCCCTCTATTTGTGTGTAATGGAATACTAGTAAAAAGCAAACCCTATCCTCTCATCCCTCCACTATAAAAGTTAACATCCAAGACTTGTGCTCCTAATGACCTCTCCAGAGCTCACCCCACTCGAAGCACCCTGAGCCCATCCTACTTTATTCACTGCAGCCAGGAAAGGTTTCAGTAGTGTTTCAGGAAGTTTAGAGAGTTCCGTGTTCAGAGTTCAGTTCAGCGCAGTTCTACCCTTGTTTCTTGACACCTTCTCATCAGATCAAACAGCCTGAGCGTCCCCAATGCATCATCCCCTCTTACTGACTTCTGGGCCTTCATGCCTGCCATCTCCTTTGTTTCAAATCCCCTTCTTCCTGCTCCAGGAAGACTTCCATGCTGTTAACTCCCTCCTGGGCAACATTCCTACTGTACTCACAGCCCTAACCTTGGTGGGTGGTCACTTTTCTGGCTGGTCACTAATCTTGAGGACCGGGCAGCTGTGTCTCTCATCACAGGGCACTTGGCACTTGGCTTATGAACTTGCTGATGGAATGAAACCAATGCAATTTGTCTTCTCCCTAGATCAACATCGGATAACCTCCAGGACTGAACATCGGTGCGAGACTTTACGGAACAGGGATCACTGGTTCCTGGCGGAAGGGATTTGCAGCCTGACGCTTACAGTGGAGTTCCTCTGCCTGTTGATTAACAATGCCTTCCCTGACCGCTCTCTGTGAAATAGTTACCACCCACCCCTAGCAATCCCTGGTCTCCTCTGGCCTGCTTTCCCAACTCCCTCAGCCTTAATGCCATCCAACATCCTGTTAATGCTCTCGTTGATTTATTTACTGGCTGCTTGTTTGTTACCATTAGACTGTAAGCTCCATCAGGGCAGGGACCTTTCAGGTTTTTTTTTCCTGCTGTGTCGCTTGCCAATGCCCAGTACAGTGGCCAACACACAGTAGGTGCTTGTGTATAGTGGAGAATGAATGAACAGGTGCAGAGCACAGTGCATGTCCCTATAGTGCATGCCATGCCTATCAGTTCCCAGGGCTTGCTCTTAATATGATAGAGCTCCTTAAATACAAGTTTCAATGCATAGGGATGCTTTAGAGACCTCCAGGAATGAAAACTGCCTCTCTCGGGCTCAAGCAACAGACAAAATACATTTAAGAAACAAGGTTCTGGAATGCTATAATATTTCCAAAGAAACAAGATCAGAGCAAACAAAGAACAATCAACTCAAATCAGAAAGAAAGAGAGAGAGAGAGAGAGAGAGAGATGCTTGACCACAGTAACCTTTTGATGCTATGGCAAATTTTTGGAGTTTGCTATAAATTTTGTAAAAGAGACTGCATTTGAGTAGGAAAACAAGCAAATGACAGGAGACAAGCTGAAAGCTGGGCTTTTTGTTGTAAGAAGCAATCCCAAGGGTTATGCATGGTGATATGGAGAGTTAGTCCAATCTCGCAGTTGATTGTGGGCCTGGCTTTCAAACCCCCACCAATCGGATCAGAGGCCCAGAGGAAGCCACTTCCTCCTTCTGAACCTCAGCTCCTGCCAGCAGGAAAGGGAGGTGGGTGACGGAAGCTGATTTCCAAGGTCTCTTCTGCCCGTACTGTCCTATGACTCTGCATCTTAACAAGGAGTTTCAGTTCGTTCTCATTAAAAAAGAGATTCAATGAACCAGGGCATGAAATCCCCTGAGTGTTCTGGATAATTAAATATTTACTAAAATAGGCCTCAAGTTTTGTTTAACTGCAATAAAAAATCTTTTTTGCATTAATTTCCAAAAATTAAGTAGAAAATTGAAAAGCATTTAACTGAAATAACCAGAAGTTTGGCTCCAAGTTATTTCTTAAATGGAGTTTCTAATATACCATTTTACAAACAGTAAACTTTATCTCTCACACACATAATATGAGTTTTATGAAGTAGTACATCACCTTGCCATATGACACTGTGATCTTTTTTAATTAGAAAATATTTCTTTGAGAGGCAGAGACAGAGATGCCGAGAGAGACAGAGTTCCTGTCCATTGGTTCACTTCCCAAATACCTGCAATAGCTGGGGATGGGCCAGGCCAAAGCCAGGAGCTGGGAACTCAGTCCAGGTTTCCCCAAATGGGAGGCGAGAACCCATTACTGGCGTCATCACTGTTGCCTCCCAGGATCTACATTAGAAGCTAGAGAAAGAAATGGAGTCAGATATGGAACCCTGGCGTACAGATACAGGATGCCAGTCCAGCCCAAAGCTCCACAGGACGCTGCCTGCCTCTCGTGGATCTCTGTGGGAGTCTGTGTCCAGGCTGTCATTGTGATAGCTGCCCTGCAGTATGGCGCTGAGAATGCTATAGCCACGTTCTTGGTTTTGCCTTTGAGTTCACACCATTCAAAATGTCTTTTGCATTTCTCGAGAGATGCTCCCAGCAGCACAGGCCAGAGAGAACACTAGACTAAGTAGCACCATTTGTGTCTTCTGCCCTGGGTTCTGTCACTACGTGGCTGTGTGACCCTGGGTAATTTATAAAACCTCTCTGGTCTTTAGCTACCCTCAAACATGGGAATGACTGCCCTATCCACCCCAAAGGGTGGTGAGAATCAAAAGCAATTGAATGGTTTGAAAACTATAGAGTGTGATATAAATATAAAGGCATTATTACAAGTAGCCTTTTAGATCTTAAGTGAAAATCTTAATTGTAGCTGAAATAGATTTAAAAATATCAGATGAGGTGAGACTGGGGGTAAATATTTCAGGAGCTCCTACAACTAGCATATTTGCATATCAAGATGCGGACTGTGGTGGGTGTTGTGAGTGGGTTAAGCCTCTATTTTCAATCCAGCTTCTTGCTAATGTGCCTGGGAAACAGCATGTGATGGCCCACGTACTGGGATCCCCGCCACCCATGTGGGAGACCCGGATGGAGCTCTGGGCTCCTGGCTCCCAGCTCCAGCCGGCCCAGCCCTGGCTGTTGCTGGCATTTGAGGAGTGAACCAACATCAAGCCCCACAATATTTACACCTGATTTATAGTGGGTATTTTCACACATGTCAGCATATGAATCCTTACCTAATTTAAGGTAGAACTGCAATTCTGAATCTTAAAAACTTTCCTTTTTGGCAGGTAAGATATTTGTTCACAGTCATACAGCTCATGAGAGATACAAGTGTGGCTCGATCTGATTCCAAATCCTTGTGCTTTGTCCTAAGCCTCAGCTTTTGCTCACTGCGTCCCTGTGGCTTGTCTAACAGCAGTAATGATGTCTAATAAGGCTCTTAGGTGGAGTTGGAGTCAGGCAGTGAGGAAATGGATCGTACTCCTCACAGCTCTTCTCTCTGTCTACAGGCTGCAAAACGTGTGCTCCCAGAGACACGTGTAACTCTCCTTCCGACTGGAGGCAGAAAAGAAGGGACAGGCAAGAGGAAGAGGGAAGGACAATACTGGGGTCTGCTGGGGCTGGCGCTGTGGCGTAGCCGGGAGAGCCGCTGTCTGCGGTACCAGCGTCCCATGTGGGCACCAGTTCGAGTCCTGGAAGGCTTCACTTCCCATCCAGCTTTCTGCTAAGGCACCTGGGAAAGCAGCAGGGGATGGCCCAAGTGCTTGAGCCCCTGCACCCATGTGGGAGACCCAGAAGAAGCTCCTGGCTCCTGGCTTCTGCCTGGCCCAGCCCTGGCTGTTGTGGCCATTTGGGGAGTGAACCAGGAGATGGAAGCCCTCTCTCTCTCTTTCTCTCTCTCTCTCTGCCTCTGTCTCTTTCTATAACTCTGACTTTCAAATAAATAAATAAGTCTTTTTTTTTTTTTTTTTGACAGGCAGAGTGGACAGTGTGAGAGAGAGACAGAGAGAAAGGTCTTCCTTTTGCCGTTGGTTCACCCTCCAATGGCCACCGCGGCCGGCGCGCTGTGGCCGGCACACCGCGCTGATCCGATGGCAGGAGCCAGGAGGCAGGTGCTTCTCCTGGTCTCCCATGGGGTGCAGGGCCCAAGCACCTGGGCCATCCTCCACTGCACTCCCTGGCCACAGCAGAGAGCTGGCCTGGAAGAGGGGCAACCGGGACAGAATCCGGCGCCCCAACCGGGATTAGAACCTGGTGTGCCGGCGCCGCTAGGCGGAGGATTAGCCTAGTGAGCCGCGGCGCCGGCCAAATAAATAAGTCTTAAAAAAAAAATGTGGTCTGCTGACAAGTGGGAGTCGGCAACTGAAACTCTCAAAAGAAATCCAACTTTCCTTCCCAAACTCCCTCTTCCAGCTTCAACATCATTCATTTCCACCCAACAGGGCCCGGCCTGAGCCAGCTGCTTGGTGAGTGTCATCCCTTCATCAGTATAGGAGGCCAGTGCGCCATGAGCCCAAGACAGAGAGCCGACAGTGTAGCTCTGGGATTGCTGGGGGCTGGGGCGCGAGCCAATGCAGAGAAGAAAAAGAGAAGAGGCCAGGAGGGAGGTTTCCCTCACTGCGCAGCAGGAGTTGCGTTTTCTGCCCTTGCACTCACAACTAGACGCTCCCTGGAGCTCTGCAGTCTGCACCCCTGGTCCGCTTCTAGGCTTTGAGCTGTGTTGCGTTTCAGGCAGGGAGAAACTGGAGGAAACGCAATGGCAGCCTTCTCACCAGCTTGGTGGAGCTTAGAATTCCTGCCTTTTCCCCTTTCCTTTACTCTTCAGAGTAAAACCACGTGGCTGATACCCAAGCTGTGGCAGCAAAGACGAGACTGACCCTTGCTTGCCACAGTATGAGAGCCCTGCGGATCCTTTTGCTTGTGAGTTTGTGTGGGGTTTGGTTTGGGTTCTGATTGGTGTTTTCACTAACACACGTCTGAAGAATGCACACTGTTCCTCCAAAAAATCCAGAAAAACTCGCTTTGCATTTTAAATGACAATGTTGAGTCCAGGTCGCTGCGGCTGTCTAGGGCCAAAGTCTGGTATGGTCATCTTCTTTCCGGACATGGAAACGCTGTTCCCACCACCTTGTGCTGAAGGGAGAAGCCAAGGCAGAGGCTGGCCGGCCAGCTTTGGGAAAGGCAGGAAGCAGTCAGGCCCGAGGCCGGATTCAGGTGCTGGGGGCCGCCAGCCTCTTGCTCCTCCTTGAGCATCTCCTGTTCTGTGCCTCAGCTCCGTCCTGTGTCGCTGCCGCCGGCGCCTTCCCAGCATGGTAGAAAGGACTGCTGATCTCTTAGCCGTCACTGGTAAGACACTGACCAGTTATCTTGGTTCCAGGATGAGAAATACTAGGGAGGACATGGACTGTTTCCACCTTGCCCCGCCCTGGACAAATCAGCTGGGGAGGTGAGATTCATGAGCCAATGTGGCAGCACCTGAGGTAGATGCATGGGTGGAGAAGGATAAACTACCCTTCCCTCCCTCCGTCTGTCTCTCCATCCACCTTCCATGTGTCCATCCACCCCTCCAACAAATTTTTATTGAGCAAACTAGGCCGGCTCCGTGGCTCACTAGGCTAATCCTCCGTCTTGCGGCACCGGCACCCCGGGTTCTAGTCCCGGTCAGGGCGCCAGATTCTTTCCCGGTTGCCCCTCTTCCAGGCCAGCTCTCTGCTGTGGCCCAGGAGTGCAGCGGAGGATGGCCCAAGTGCCTGGGTGCTGCACCCCATGGGAGACCAGGATAAGCGCCTGGCTCCTGCCTTCAGATCAGCGTGGTGCGCCGGCTACTACGGCAGCCATTGGAGGGTGAACCAACGGCCAAGGAAGACCTTTCTCTCTGTCTCTCTCTCTCTCTCACCGTCCACTCTGCCTGTCAAAAAACCAACCAACCAACCAACCAAACCAAACAAACAAACAAACAAAAAAACCTAAGAGGCTGAGTGAGGGTCCAAAGTCCCCAGACGAAGGTGAAGAGAAAGCGTGTGAGATACCAAGTGCTCCACAAAGCACCGGGGTGGGAGCCTGTGCCAGGATGTCAGTCAACCACTCCTTTGAAAGGGAACCCGGCTTTGAAAAGGCGCTGGGGGCACTAAGGTGTTGTTAGCGGTGCAGCTGCTCCCCGGTCTGGTTCCAGCTCCTGATCTTGTACAGCGATGGCAGCGTGGCCAGCAGCAGTGGGTTTGCTCTGCAGACCACTCTGCCCTGGGGTGACTCTTGCCCACACCACACAGGAGACACGGAGACGAACATCCACAACAGCTTTGTTTAAAATATCTGAAACGGGAACAACCCATAAATAATAGAATGCCCATAAATAATAGAATTGAGAAGGAATCACGGTGCCATCACACCATGGAATCTGAAATGGTGGAGGAAGGGATTGAACTACAGCTACAGTCACCCACAATGAACGAGTTTCAAAAACATTATGGAGCACAAAGAGCAACCTGAGAAGCCTACAACGGAGTTGTGTGAAGTTCAAAACCAGGCCCTGCCAAATGATGTATCGGTTTGGGATCTATCACAAATAAATTAAAACTACAAAGGCAAGCAGAATGGCACTTGTGTCAGGTTGGTGGCTTGCCTGGGGGAGGAAGGACTGGAGTGGGGTGGACTTGGGGGAGAGAGCGACACAACTGGGAAGGGGCCTGCTAAGAAGCAGCATCAAGGGTATAGCAATATTGGATTCCCTGTGTAAGCTGGGTGTGTGGACATGGGCTTAGCTTTTATTTGTTATTTTCAAAATGCACATCTATGTCATGTGCATTCTTTTGTAAGTATGATCTCTTTCACAATAAAAAAAATTAAAAATTATTTAGCTAACATCACACTTCCTGCACACCCCCCAGAAAAGGTAGGGTTTAGTGTCGTTGACTAGCCTGGGCCTCAGAGGGGTTAGAAGTTGTCCTCAGCAGCGGCGCCGTGGCTCACTAGGCTAATCCTCCGCCTGCGGCGCCAGCACACTGGGTTCTAGTCCTGGTTGGGGTGCCAGATTCTGTCCCGGTTGCTCTTCTTCCAGTCCAGCTCTCTGCTGTGGCCCGGGAAGGCAGTGGAGGATGGCCCAAGTGCTTGGGTCCTGC